ATTGTGTTCTAGGATCCAGGAGAGAGCTTTCATTGAACTCTGTGTGTGTGGAGGGGTCTTGGGTGTCTGCCTTGGGTGTCGTCATTCCTCGGGCACTGTCCACCTTCATTTCTTTGAGTCAGGGTCTCTAACTGATCTGGAGCTTGCTGAGTAAGCTGGACTTGCTAGCTAGTGAGCTCCTGGGGTCTGCTTCTCTCTACCTCAGGGCTGAGATTGTCGGCAAAGCCACCATGCCCAGCTTTAACACACACACACACACACACACACACGCACGCACGCACGCACGCACGCACGCACGCACGCACGCACGCACACACACACGCACGCACGCACATGCACGCTCACACACACAATTTATTTACTTTATCTGAGTGATCCAACTCAGGCCTTCATATTTGTGTGGCGAGCGTTCTACTCACTGAGTTATCTCCCCAGCTCCCAGACTGAACTCATTTGCAAAGGCGAAGCTGGAATTATACAATCCTGATGATAACCTGTGACATATCTTTAATTCATTACAAGCAGCAGCCAAGCAGCTTGTGGAGCGTGGCAGGGAGGCTCACAGGAGGGAACCCGAGGACCGGGCTGCTTATGGAAATTTGACATATAGCTCAGAGCCTCTCTGTGTCAGGTGACCTGGCCTGGACAGTTTCGCCTCTGTCCCCAGAGTTAACAAGCTTCTCCCGCATAGCTTCCTTTGTGAATGGTAAATGAGCTTCCTTTAGAATGCAGCACCTCAAATGTCAAGTGATGGGGAGGGAGGATCTGCACGCTAAGTGCAGGATGACTGGTGTGGCTTCTGAGCCTCCCCATTCATCTTTTATTAACTGTCCTTACTTCCTTTTTATCAATTAACCTTATTATTCCTTTCAACTGGATCTACCTATGGAAGCACCATGAAGGAGATACCTTAGATATCTTTATTCTTCCTCTTAAATAATGTAGCAGAAACTCACGGAGTCAGTACCACCTGTTAAAAGTGGTGCTTTTTTTTTTTTCAAGACAGGGTTTCTCTGTGTGGTTTTGGTGCCTGTCGTGGATCTCACTCTGTAGCCCAGGCTGGCCTCGAACTCATAGAGATCCACTTGGCTCTGCCTCCCAAGTACTGGGATTAAAGGCATGCGCCACCACTGCCCAGCTTGGAGATTCTTTATTCTGCATGGATCAACCAGGCCACATGACCAGAGCATGTCTTTGCTGAGAACCAGCTCCCTTCCTCCCCCTTCTCGGGGCTGCCTTTTCAAATTTCGTGGAAGGAAAAGTTGCATCTGTGAATATGGAAATTATCCGAATGATGGGGCTGTACACACAGAGATACCCTGTCTCAAAGGGGGGCATATATAGCTCAGTGTATTATGCTATTATGCTTCTTTCTTTCATTTATTTATTTGGTTTTTTGAGACAGGATTTCTCTGTATAGCTCTGGCCGTCCTGGTACTCACTCTGTAGACCAGGCTGGCCTTGAACTCAGAGATCTGCCTACCTCTGCCTCCTGCATGCTGGGATTAAAGGCATGTGCCACCATTGTCTGGTTTGGGGGTGATTTTTCAACATTAGTACATTTTTATGTGTATGAGTGTTTCATCTGTGTATGCAGAAGCACCATGTGTGCCTGGTGTCTGTGGAGGCCAGAGAGGGCATTGGATCCTCTGGGGCTAGAGTTACTGATGGCTGTGAGCCCTCAGGTGAGTGCTGGGAACCAAACCTGGGTCCTCTGCACGCGCTCTAACCCCCTGAGTCAACCCTCCAGCCCCTATTTTGTTTTTTGAGACAGGCTATGTGAGATGATCTTCCTGTCTCAGTCTCCCTAGTGTAGGGACTATGGGCACAGTGCCTCAGCTTAAATATTTTTAAGAGTTAAATGGACTATATCAGGAACCCTGGCCTATGATCAGGAGTCTAGGCCAACCTGGGAAGCTGCATGCTTGTTCTGAAATTCCTAATTCCTATTGGGACTCTGGGGACAGCAGCTTGTGATTCGGTATGGACTTCCTGAATGGAAGCTATGGTGTCCCATCCTAGTCTCTTGGGGACTCTTGTGGCATGCGATACTGGTCTTTGTTCCTGTCCTATCTGTGGCTGGAGAAGGGGCAATTTAAAGTAATAGATCTTTGTACCCTGAAGTGACAGTTGGGTCAAGGATGTACTAGACGTGATGGTGGCCCCTTAAGACTGTAATAGAGATGGCTGGAGAGATGACTTAGCACTAGAGTGCTTCTCCTCCAGAGGACCTGGGTGCGGTTCCTAGCACCCACATCAGGTAACTCACAAACGTCTGTAACTCCATCTCCTGGTGACCAAATGTCCTCTGGTCTCTGAGGGCACCTGTAAGCATGTGATGCATACAAATTCACATGGGCACACACATATACCCACACATTCAAAAAGATTATAATGTGGAGCCGGACAATTCCCATTGCTTGGTAACACATGTCAAATGTCGTAGGACAGCACACCGCTGGCATGTTTGTGATGCTGCAGGAATAAGCAAACCTACCCCCTGCCACTCATGGAGCAGTGGAGTACTCACAATTCCATGTAGTACGTGATGCCTGATAATGGGAATTAATAACTATGCTCCTGGCTTTATTGATCTCATATATCTATATATTTGAAGCAGGCTCTTGCTTTGTGATCCAAGCTGACCTAGAACTCATCATTCTCCTGTGTCAGCTTCTTGAGTGCCACCATGCCTAGCTTTTTACTATACTTTTTGTTGTTATTTTGAGGTGTATTCCTTTTACTTATTTAAGAAAAAAGCGTACTGGAAGACAATATGCTACCTGAGTCTGGTAGAGCCTCACATCTCAAACCTGCCACAAGAGGCCACATGGAGTGACTAACCTGCAGCATCTAGGTCAGTTTAAGTGCATTTGACACTTACATAGTGACAAAATGCCCCAGTGACTCATTACTCAGGATGTGTCCACATCCTTAAGTGACACAGGACTGTGCATGAGAAAGTGCTTTGTAAACCGTGAAGATGGTTTCTGCAGGAGTTCCTCAAATTTGGACTTGCAGATGCTCAGTCAGTAAAGTGCTCGCCCACAAGTATGAGGACCTGAGTTCAGATCACCAGCACCTCTGTAAAAGTCAGGTGTGGCGGAGCTGGTCAGTAACCCCAGTGCTGGGCACGCGGAGACAGCTGGATCCCTGGAGCCATTGGTCAGGCAGCCTTGCTGAATTAGTGAGCCTTAGTTCAGTGGAGTGTGATAAAGGAAAACACCCAGTGTTGACCTCTGGCCTTTAAGTGCGCACATATTCTCTAGTCATATGTGCATACCCCTTCATAAATATGTACATCAAATGCACACACACACACACACACACACACACACACACACACACACAGGAATAAACAAAAAGTGGAGTTCCCTAAACTCCTAAACCATTGGCCTTGATGCCACTGTTCTGGTACCCACCAGTTTGATCTTCTATAGCACAGTTCTTTGAGAACTTCTCATGACTCCCGACTCCTATACAGTAAAACCGCAGCTCTAAAACTTGGTATTCAACCCATTACAGACCAACCCCAACAATTCCCAACAATCCCATTGGTCCTTTTCACGGGCTACGGAACTGACTTCCCAACTGTTCTAAAGTTAGTGTTGCCTCGCCAGCCTTGCCCCTACTTTCCCATTGGCTAGTATGGTTTTCCATCTTTCTCTCTGTCCCTTCAATAGGTTTTCATATTTATGCCACTCCTGCTGTGGGACGGTCTTTCTGCAAGCTGTGAATATGTTGCTCTCACTGGTTGATAAATAAAGTTTTCGCTAATAGCCAAAATAGTACAGTCTAACTGGAGATGAAGAAGGGTGGAGTTGGGGCAGACACTGAGGAAGCAAAACCTGTAGAAAATGAGGTAACAAGCCATGAACCACATGGCAAAGCATAGATAAGAAATATGGGTTAATTAAAATGTAAGAGCTAACTAGTAATAAGTGTGAGCCATTGGCCAAACATTTATAATTAATATAAGCCTCTGGGTGATTACTTGGAAGCAGCTGCAGGACAGGGTGGGACAGAGAATAGCCTCAGTTTACAACTCCCCCTTTTAATATGGCTATATTTTTAAAATGGACACTCTAACCAGATGTGGTAGCACATGCCTGTAATCCCAGCACTTGGGAGGCTGAGGCAGGAAGATTGAGAGTTTGGGGCCAGCTTGAGGTAAATAGTATAACTCCTTCTCAAAACCAAACCAAACCACCAAACTGAAAAAGAAGGGGAAGAGGAAGCAAAGGAGGCTGAGGAGGAGAGAGAAGAAAGAGAGAGAGAAAGGAAGGAGGAACTTCTTTCTTTCTTTGTTTTTTCAAGACAAGGTTTCTCTGTGTAGTCCTGGCTATCCTGGAACTCACTCTGTAGACCAGGCTGGCCTTGAACTCAGCGAGATCCACCTGCCTCTGAGTTCCAGTGCTGGAATTAAAGTCATGTGCCACCACTGCCTGGCAAGGAGGAATTTCTAACAAAGTAAATAAAGGTTAATGAAATTATAAGAGTTGGATCCTGATTCAGTGGACTAGTGTCTTTGTATGAGAGGGTGCCAGAGAGCTGGCTCCCTCCACAGCCTCGGAGGACGGGTGTGTGAGGACTAAGCGTCTGTTTCCAAGCTGAGAAGAAAATATCATCATAAACCCACCTGCTCGACTTTGATCTAGGATGTCAAGCCTTCAGGACAGTAAGAAGGTGATTCTCTGCTGGTGAAGCCAGCCAGTCCCTAATTAATACCTAGTTAAGGTATCATAATGTACCTTTTTACATTATGTACTTGTAAATGTACATTTACAAGTGACCCTTTCTTAGAATAACTCTTACATTACAAATCTAAAACCTGTGTGTGTGTGTGTGTGTGTGTGTGTGTGACAGAGAGAGAGAGAGAGAGAGAGAGAGAGAGAGAACTATAAAGAGGACAACTTCAGGTGTTGTTTTTGTTTCTTAGAGGCCATCCACCTGCTCTCTCTCTCTCTCTCTCTCTCTCTCTCTCTCTCTCTCTCTCTCTCTCTCTCTCAATTAATTAATTTTTGAGATAAGGCCTATCAGTGGCCTGGAACTCACCAAGTAGGCTAGGCTGGCTGGCCAATCAAGCTCCATCCTTCTCTCTGTCTTCATCTCTCCAGGGTCGGGGTGGCAAGCACACAACACTATCCCTGGCTTTTAACACGTGGGGTCTAGAGATTAGCGTGTGCTGTCCTGCTCACAGGGCAAGCCCGTTACTCACTGACCTCTCCCCTCCCACTGCTTAGCTTCCTTCCTTCCCTCTTTCTTTTGAGACCAAAATGCTCTTGAATTTGTGATCCTCTGTCTCAGCTCCCAACTCTGAGAGTTACAGAGACCTCTACTACACCTGATCTAAAACCCCTACTGCTCAAGGAGCAACTTGAAAACCACGATGCTCTCCTCAGCTTTTAAAACCATTTCAAATCCTTTGTTTTTTTATGTGTATCTGTCTGCATGAATGTAGGACACTGAGTGCCTGTGGAGGTCAGAAGAAGGTGTTGGGCCCCTGGAGCTGAGTTACAGGTAGTTGTGAGCTCCCTGTGTGGCTTCTGGGAACTGAATTTGGGATGATTTGGAAGGGCAGTAAGTGCTCTTCATCCGTCTCTCCAGCCTGCCTCAGTTTATCTGTATCTTCCTTGTTTTTTGAGACAAGGCCCCTGCTGTCTAAACTGGCACTGAACTCTGGCTCCTCCAGCCTCAGCCCCCTTGGTAGCTGGGCATCCTTTAAGATGACGCTCTGTCCTTTTGTGTAGCCACTGGTTGCTAGTTTCCTTACTGGGAAGCTTGTTTGTTTGTTTGTTTGTTTTGTTTTGTTAGGGGGTAAGATTTGGTAGAGTTTTACGGTATAGTCCAGGATGGCCCCAAACTTTCAAACTTGGGATCTTCTCCCCTCAGCCTCCTGAGTGCTAGGATTACAGATGTGTATCAGCATATTCATCTTCGGGCAACTGCCAATTAAATATTGTAGCTCTTCAGTGCCTGGGACTATGCTTAGAACTCATTAGAGAAGCAATAACCACAAACGGATAGATCTATCAATAAGTGAGAAAAAAGAAATGGGGTAATAAATATAACACTTTTAATTTAAAATTTCAAGAAGCAGGGCCTGAGGAATGTAGTTCAACTGATAGAATGCTTGCCTAGTATACAAGAAGCCCTGGATTTGATCACCAGCAACACGTACATGGGTATGGTTGTGCGTGCCTGCAATTCCAGCCCTCAAAAGGTGGAGATGAAAAGATCAGGAGTTCCAGGTCATCCTCAGCTACATGGTAGGTTCAAAGGCAGCCTGAGGTGTGTGAGACCCTGGGGTACATGTCTCAAATGAATAAATACGTAAATAAGAAAACAAAATGGAAGGCCGAGGAGATGGCTTAGTGGGTAAAGTCGCCGTGTAAGTGTGACACAGTGACACCTCTGTCTGTAATCCCAGTGTTTTTCCTAGGACCTGGAAGGTGAAGCCAGGAGCATGCCCAACGCTCACGCCAGCTAGCCTGGTGTCTGCAGTGGAGAAGACAAACAAACAAACAAACAACCCCCCAAGAAGCCTTGTCTTCAACAAGGTGGAAAGGTAAGGACTGACTCCAGAGGTTGTCATGTGACTGCCACACACGTGGTAACATAGACATGCTGACATCCACACACAGATACACAGAGACAGAAAGAAATGCTTTGAGAGAGAGATAAGAAATAAGTTAAACCTTCAGCTTAGTAATCGTTAAAATGTGCAGGTGCTTTAGAGGAACTGGACAGAGTGGCAGAACTTTGTACTTGCATTTTGTGAGCGTTTTGTCTCTGCCTGGGGAGAGGTGGTGGACTGACTAGTGTGTTTTGGCTTCCTCTATGTGTTTTGGCTTCCTCCTCAGAAAATGGGACTCACAGCCTGTGGGAGCGGACTTAGCCAGCCTGAGAGAGACACAGGTTCCTGCTCTGCTGTGGAGACACGCAGCTGAGGTTCTCATGGAGGGCTCAGAGTCATACAGTTAGGCCTGGTGCTTGCTCTTCGGTCCATTCCAACCCTATCTCTTACCTATTCTACCCTCACCCCACCGAATGTGGGCTGGGGAACAAAGTCTCGATGCAGCCCAGGCTGGCCTTGCTACGTAACTGATGATGACCTTGAACTTCTGATCCTTCTGCCTCTATCTTCCAATGTTAGGTCAAGCCTGGTTTTTTGGGGTGCTGGGAACTGAACCTAGGGATTCATAGATACTAGGAAAGCACTCTACCAATTGAGCTACATCCCCACCTCCTGGAAATGTGATTTTAAAAAGTGTTGAGTACTGTTCATCTGCCACGTCCTTACTGTAGATGGACTCAGACCAGAGGAAGTGGGAGACAGGAGGAAGAAGAGGGAGGAGGAGGCCAAGCAAGAAGAGGCGATGGGCCCTCCTAAGGCTGCATAAGGCTTCTCATATGCCCACTTCCTTCTGGGTAGCTGAGGACGAGATTTTAACAAAGAAGTCAGATCCTTTTCAAAGGAGAGATCTTTTCTCACAACTGCCAAAAAGCCACATTTTCCTTTTTCTTCCCGGTAACAAGGCCAGAAAACATCTAGAAGAAGGAGGGAAATGGGAAAGTCCTAAGCAAAAGCCTGCAAGGCCTCTTGAGGTGGTAAGTATGCTGCAGATTTTATTTTAACTGAGTATTTTCACTAACTCGTGAAAAATTCTCATTTTTGCCTAAAAGGGTCCTGTGTTTTTAAGCAAGTGCAGAGTTTTGCTTCTGAGAAATCCCTCTGGGCCAACAGATTGGATTCTAGGGCAAGTTCGTGTAATTCTAGTGTTTTCTTAGTTCCTGGTTTTCCTCTGAAGACTTTGTGTTCTGGTGGCATTCAAATGTCACTCTTGGCTGGAGTGAGCCTTAGCAACAGAGCATATGCTTAGATGTTCAAGGCCTTGGGGTCTACCTCCCAACCCCCAGATCCCATTTAGAGCATTAACTTTGAATGCTTTTTACAACCCACAAACTTCAGAACAAAAATATTCTCTATTAATTAGACATTATGTTGACAAAATATATAGAGAACCATTTTTATTTTTATTTTTTGCAATCTTTTAGAAAATCCCATGCCTCAACCTTGGAGGGACTTTTGGGTCTGGCTACAGAACCAGTTCCCGAACCTGCAGACTTGGGAATTTTCCTTCTGCACAGAAGAAAAATGAGCTGTCGTTCTTCTCGCTTATTTTCTAGTGAAGAATTCTGGGAAGGGAAGTTTAGCTAGGGAAGGTGTTTGCAGGGAGGTTTTGACTTCGCTTGAATGACTCATTCAAGGTCAGGCAAAGTCAAAATGAAGCAAAGGTTGGACACTCGTGGCCACCCTTTAAGAATCTCAGTCCTTCAGTAGCTTTTTTATGGAGGTAAAATGTGGTCAGAAGTTAGGGGTTTGTGGTATTGTTTTTTCCTCCAAATTTCAGAAGAGACGCCCTATGACATCACTGACCTTGTCTTCTATCCCTAGAGTGACAGGTCAGAACACCCCTATCCCAACTGGAGCTACTTACTACAAACCCACCCAGCAGCCTTTCTCCAAGGAAAAGCAGATCGCTGAGCTTCGGAAGCCTCCAGACCTGAAGGACAGCTCTCACAGAAGGAAAAACTGCTGCCTCGGGTGTCTACACTGTTTTTTTGTGTTTTGAGTATTCACACGGGGTCCTAGCCTGTGCCCGTCACGGAGGACATAAATCACTCAGCAATCCCCCCGGAGAATCGGAGAGTGTTTTGTTTTGTGGTGTCTGCTGGGCAGGTCCCTGTCTGTTTTTCTGTAGTCTTGAGCTTCTCACTAGCTTCTAGGCTGCTAAGACCACACTTCGCTGGCTGTTGCTTTCTCTGAATGCACAGGAAATGTCTGTAGGTCTGGCAAGTACTTCCTCCTCTCTCCACACTCCCATTCCAAACTGTGCATTCAATATTCCAGAACCTTTAACCTCCTTCTCTCTTAGCACACTCGGGGTCACATTTTCTATTAAGTTAAAAAGACTCCATTTTCAATCAGCTACCTTAGAAGGACTGTGTTTGTCTTTAATATCCCTACAAATCCCAACTTAAAAACTATAACGCCACTCTTTTTTTTTTTCCCGTTGTTTCTTTGGTTGTTGTTTGTTTTTTTGAGACAGGGTTTCTCTGTGTAGCCCTGGTTGTCCTGGAATTCACTATGTAGACCAGGCTGGCCTCAAACACAGAGATACTCCACCCTCCCACCCCCCTCCCCTATTGCTGGGACTAAAAGGTGCACCACCACCAGCAGCTTAAATGCCACACATAAGAAACCTAAGAATCAGCTAGGTGGTGGTGGCACACACCTTTAATCCCAGCACTTGGGAGGCAGAGGCAGGCAGATCTCTGTGAGTTTGAGGCCAGCCTGGTCTCCAAAGCGAGTTCCAGGAAAGGCACAAAGCTGCACAGAGAAACCCTGTCTCAAAAAACAAACAAAGAAAGAAACCTAAGAATCATTTTCTTCATCTGAACTAATTTTTTCCATATAGCAATATGGAAGTAGGAGAAAAGCGTCAGAAACCAGGGGCTAGGAGTAGAGTTGAATATTTATTTAAAATAATTAAAGTTCCTTTATTTAACCCTTTTCACATGATGTGGTGACTATGGTTGTCCTAGACCGTGGTGATATAGTCCTGCACAATGCAGACACAGTTCTTGAGAAAGGACAGCTTCTTAACCAAATGAATACTTGACCTATAGCACTAGTAAGAGATCTTTGCTTTGAAGAAAAATAAAGGAGAGACAGAGTATGGTGGCCTTTGAGCGAAGCCTTGAAAGGGGGCTATGTTGGCATCTGGAAGAAGTTGAGTCCCACCCACAGGAAACAGACAGCAAGCACAAAGGTCCTGGGGAGAATCCCCCTGCAGTGACTGAGAAACAGCCAGGAGAAAGCCTGCCGGGGGCAGAGGTAGGGGTGGGGGCAGAGCTTTTGGCACCTTGTTGGTGATCTGGGTACCTGGGCGTTTTCCAAGGCGGGTGAGGTTCAGGGGGAGTGTTCAAACAAGGGGGTGACTGGTCCTCATTTGACAAGTCACTAGCTGCAAGCCCAGGGGAAGGTAAGGGGACAGGCATAAAAGAGGAGCGGTTGGTAAGGAGCCATTGAAATGAGCCCGGGAATTAATTGTCTTAGATATTATAAAAAATGCATTGGGTGGAAAATACTACTGTGATTACAGAATACAAAGTAAGAATGGGAAACATTTTTAAAAATGCTTAAGTTGTGAGGCAAAAGGTTCAATTTGGCAACTACTCTGCTACCAGATCTATTCTCGATGCAATGGACTCGAGGGTCTCGGTGACCTGTGCTCCAGAGTCTGTCTCCACCAATATACAAGTAGCGGCGCACGCCTTTAGTTCCAGCACTCGGGAGGCAGAGGCAGGTGAATCTCTGAGCCTGATCTACAAAGTGAGTTCCAGGATAGCCAGGGCTACACAGAGAAACCCTGTCTCGAAAACAAAAACAAAAACAACAACAAAAGCAGCTTTTATGAGCTTTCTCCCCTTCCTATTTCCCAAAATTGCCTGGGTGCCCGTAAAAACAACAACAACAACAACAACAACAAACAGGCCCGGTCTCATTCTGTGATTATAGCACGACTGCATGAGAATTCCTATGACTCAAGTCTGGGAAGCTGCCCGCTAACTTCCCCACGCTTTACTTGGGCACACATTGGGGAGATCGCTGAGGTCTAGGAAACATTACAGGACATCTGGGAGGGCCGGCAGGTGGCGCCACGGGATCGTGAGCAGCTGAGGGCACTCAGGCCTGCAGACCGCGGGTCCACCGCGTTGCTAGGGCCACCCTGTCACCTCAAATCTCCCAAGGAGCGATGTGCAGGAGTAGTGGGCTGGGGGCTTGACCAGTAGTATCCCGATTTGATTGGAGGTTACACGCACCCTAAGCCGTCTCCAGTGGGCTCTGATGCTCCCCGGGCAGGAGGGCCCGGCCCTCTCTGCACCGACACGGAGCCCTGTGCAGCTCGCAAGGCCCCGCATTGAGGACCCGCCGCCTCGCGCCTCAGGGCAGTACTGCAGGGCTGCCAAGCCACGCGCGGAGATCTACTACAGAGACCCCACAGGGAGCGCCGCACCCGCGGACCGCTCCTTTCCATTGGCCGCCTGGAGGAAGACCACGCCCCTTTCCCTACAGCGCTCATCTCTGACTGGCTCTTGGGTCCGGGATGGCCACGCCTCCTCCCCTCGCATACACAAGAGTCACGCGCCTTTCAGTTGGAAACTTGGCATGCTGAGGAGGACAGTGGCCCTCGTGTCTCCGCCCACCTCCCGTGCCATTGGTGCGGCACGCCGACTGCGGCCACGCCCCCATTCCAGCCCCCTGGCTGGGAAGGCGGGCACCCGCTCTTGATTGGCCGGCCGACCTGCCTCTCGCGGGAGCGGCTAGCGCTCCCCTCCCTCCCCTCCCTCCTCCCGCGAGCTAGGGGTTCCTCAGCTGGCTCAGTCCGAGTCAGTGTCATTCAAAGAGGCGGACTGCCGAGTGCTGGGCGCGGGCGCGCGGTTGCAGTCCTGCTCGGGCGCCGGTGCCTGCGCTCGCGCCGCCGGGTGGGAAGGATGAAGCCTCAGCTGGAGCAGCCACCCTATGATTGGCTGTGGCGCTTGTGAACCCGAAGTAAAGATGGCGGGCGGGCAGGCAGCCGCCGCACTGCCCACTTGGAAGATGGCGGCTCGCCGCAGTCTCAGTGCCCGCGGTCGGGGGGTCCTGCAGGCAGCTGCGGGCCGGCTGCTGCCGCTGCTACTGCTGAGCTGCTGCTGCGGCGCGGGCGGCTGCACAGCGGCCGGCGAGAACGAGGAGACCGTGATCATCGGGCTGCGGCTGGAGGACACGAACGACGTGTCGTTCATGGAAGGGGGTGCGCTGCGGGTGAGCGAGCGGACCCGGGTCAAGCTGCGGGTGTACGGGCAGAACATCAACAACGAGACATGGTCCCGCATCGCCTTCACTGAGCACGAGCGGCACCGGCACACACCCGGCGAGCGCGGGCTGGGGGGCCCCGCGCCTCCGGAGCCGGACAGCGGCCCCCAGCGCTGCGGCATCCGCACCTCAGACATCATCATCTTGCCCCACATCATTCTCAATCGCCGCACATCGGGCATCATCGAGATCGAGATCAAACCGCTGCGCAAGATGGAGAAGAGCAAGTCTTATTACCTGTGCACGTCTCTCTCCACGCCCGCACTGGGCGCCGGCGGCTCCGGGTCCCCGAGTGGCGCCGTCGGGGGCAAGGGTGGCGCGGGGGTGGCGGGACTCCCGCCTCCCCCATGGGCCGAGACCACCTGGATTTACCACGACGGTGAGGACACCAAGATGATCGTGGGCGAGGAGAAGAAGTTCCTGCTGCCCTTCTGGCTGCAAGTGATCTTCATCTCGCTGCTGCTGTGCCTGTCAGGCATGTTCAGCGGCCTCAACCTGGGGCTCATGGCTCTGGACCCGATGGAGCTGCGCATCGTGCAAAACTGCGGCACCGAGAAAGAGAAGAATTACGCCAAGCGCATCGAGCCGGTGCGCAGGCAGGGCAACTACCTGCTGTGCTCGCTGCTGCTGGGCAACGTGCTGGTCAACACCACGCTCACCATCCTGCTCGACGACATCGCGGGCTCGGGCCTTGTGGCGGTGGTGGTCTCCACCATCGGCATCGTCATCTTCGGGGAAATAGTGCCCCAAGCCATCTGCTCCCGGCACGGCCTGGCAGTAGGGGCCAACACCATCTTCCTCACCAAGTTTTTCATGATGATGACCTTCCCTGCTTCTTACCCGGTTAGCAAACTGCTGGACTGCGTCCTGGGCCAGGAGATAGGCACTGTCTATAACCGGGAAAAACTGCTGGAGATGCTCCGGGTCACTGACCCCTATAACGACCTGGTTAAGGAGGAGCTGAACATCATCCAAGGGGCGCTCGAGCTCCGCACCAAGACTGTAGAGGACGTGATGACTCCCCTCCGGGACTGCTTCATGATCACTGGCGAGGCTATCTTGGACTTCAACACCATGTCCGAAATCATGGAGAGTGGCTACACTCGAATCCCAGTGTTCGAAGGAGAGCGTTCCAACATCGTGGACCTGCTCTTTGTCAAAGACTTGGCCTTCGTGGATCCAGATGACTGTACTCCCTTGAAAACCATCACCAAATTTTATAACCACCCCTTGCACTTTGTTTTCAATGACACCAAGTTGGACGCTATGCTGGAAGAATTTAAGAAAGGTGGGAATTTTTGCTCTTTTTTTAATTGGCTTTTCTCTTTCTGTCTCCATCCTCCTCCCTCCTTGAGTCCTCTACCTCCAGACCAACCCCCCAAGGAGAGTTGACCGGAATTTCTCCCTCTCTTAATTGCAGAGTTGAAAGGGCGGCATGGACTTGGGGACGGATTGAACTAGTAAGCGCGTCCAGGTTTAAAAGCCCCAGACTGTCGTTACTTTTCCCACGTCGTCAAAAAATAGGCTTTGTAATTTCAGTGCATGAAACTTGACCCCTTAGGGCCTCTCTTGAGGGATCTGCTTCATTCATTGTCTGGGTTCCGAATGGGTAGGTGAAAGTACAGGCCGGCTCCCGAGATGGCTACATCTGATACAGACATAGGGGAAACACTTAAGCAGCCTTAGAAGCCCGAGTGTAATCCTTTTCCTCTTCCTTAGACATCCACGCTGACATTTCAAAGATTGCAAGTATATCTTCGGTGGATTTTGTTCTTGGCTGTCTGGCATCCTGCAGGGGAGACTGGGGTCTTTGAGGGTGGAGCAAGGGTAAAGAAAGTACCGTTTTTTTTTTTTTTTTTTTTTTTTTTTTAAACCCACTTTATTTGGGTGTGACTTCTCTAGCTGGAAAAGGGGGGGGGTTTGTTTTGTTTAAAGCAAACTTAGTTATTAACATGTAACTTGGAAAGACTAGCCGTAAGTTAACTTTTAATGCGCCTGTACCTGTCCTACTTTTTTCACTTCTTAAAGCAAGTGTGGTTTTGTAGAAAGCTTGAACCCGGCACAGTGATGTGAATACCGTTGTCAATGATGATTTGATTTTTCTTCAGTTTAAAAAATGTTCTTTTAATCTCAATCCCTGGATACATTAACGTGAAGTACATTTCCAAGTCAACTCTCTGGGTTCTAGGGTATTAACGGGGAAGAGGCCCAGGGTCTGGTGTTTGAGCACTCACAGCACATCATTTCTTGTCTTGTAGTATTGTTTGTCTTGTTTTGTCCTAAATAGGTGAATAGCAGCCGGTACTGTTATTACTGAGACTTTGAAAGTTTCCAGTAAGAAGCTAGTGTTGTTAAAACCAAGGGATGCTGAGTTTCGTCATTGGTGCTTGGCATGCACCGGCATTGCAATGTGTGTGCAACCTTGCATGACCCGAAAACTAAATTCTCATTCTTCACATGGAATTTCGATCACTAATGGGGTCGCTCCCCTGACAAAAGCCATGTGTACCTGGTGACAGCTCACTGGGTGAGGTCATTTGCACATACAGTGTGTGTACTTGTCCTCACTCCCTTTTCTTGGATGAATGGTGTCCTCTCTGGAACAAGACCACAATGCAGTAATTTTCA